CTGACTTTTTGAAACAGGACATAAGCCTATGCCTTAAATTGTTTATGTTGTTGACTGTAAATAATGTATGAAGCCCAGACTCTGGACAATGTTTATGTTCTTTTTTTTTTTTTTAGTTTCTTTGTATTTTTCTTTTGTGTGTATACACAATAAAGTTAAAAAAATATAATGGAGTCATATAATGGAGGTCTATGGTCACCACCTCAAAGAGCATGCACAGAGAAGTCCAAATTAAACATGATTTAATGACTCGTAAATCATTGTACACATTGATGGCCTAAGACACGAAACAAGCCGTTCGTGTGAGAAAACGAACAGTATTTATATCGTTTTTACCTCTTCCTGCGCATGCGCCGGAAAGTGCCGGAAGTAATCTCTCGCGCGTGTACATCATTCATTGTTTACACAGAGATTTCGGAAGTTTTACCTTCCACTGTGAAGATCTAAACAATGAATGACGTACACGCACGAGAGATATGTGTATGTGAGTCTTTCCGGCACAAAAAAACGCCAGCGTCCTCGGAGTATAATGGACGTGACTGTGGTTACAAGAGGTAAAAACGATATAAATACTGTTCGTTTTCTCACACAAACCGCTCGTTTCGTGTCTTAGGCCATCAATGTGTACTTACATTTATGAGTCATTAAATCATGTTTAATTTGGACTTCTCTGTGCATGCTCTTTGAGGTGGTGACCATAGACCTCCATTATATGACTGACAGACAAGAACGGTTTGACCTAAAAATATCAAAATTGAAAATACTGCGGAAACAAAGACACCTAGATCTTGGATGCCCTTGAGGTAAGCTAAAACATACCAAAAATTAATTTCAAAGTGAACTATCCCTTTAATTGGATTCTAACTTACTGACTAGCCCCTCTGATAGGCCTTTGAGTTCAAGCGCTCAACAGAAATGATTGTGATTGGCCACAAACGCTTGTAAAAACATGCCGTAAATAGAAACCTTTGACACTCAGAGAGCGTTAAAACGAACACAAACGAGAGCAGTAGAAGACATTATCATGCGTAACTAATGTCTCAAAATCATGTTTTAGTGCTTATTTTTGTTATTTTTAAGCCTATCAATTATTTTTTAGCATTCACATTTTTATAGATTTAGACATAGAGAGAGGACAGGAAGTGATGTGAAGAAGAGGCAAAAAAGCAGGAAATGTTTGTTTTTGTCATAGCTTTTCCCATAATTGTGAGGGAGAGACCATTATTTAGTTATCAACTCTATTTGATCAGATGTTCTTCATTCAAAGCTGACTTCCAGTGTCAGCTACCCCGAGGCAACATGTACAACAAAAGTACTTGTGATCTCTTTAACACTCGTTCCTGGTTTTGTATTTTCTCCACACCATTGGGATTGAACCTAAAACCTTTGTGTTAGCAGCCCAGATTGTTAACCACTTGGCTGCCCCCACCCCCGAGAGATACTTCTTGGGCGAGCAAATGTAACCAGATACATTATCCAAACTAAGGTGGCTACATATTCTCCATGGACAGAATCAAAAACAAGCCACTTAACATTCCAGAACTCGCTGAAAATTCCCATTGTTTGCAAATCCAAATCCTTCTCTGGTGTACCCATTACCTGTATGTGGTCTTCTTGTAACTTCTGCACTGGTGATTTTTAAAAATCGAAATATCACCCCTTGCAAATCTGTCTTCAGGGAGGCTTTGCAAGTACGGATGCCCATTGAACACTGGAAATTTACTGGTGATCAGAGTCCCCCCGTCTCTCCGAGCGCAGAACATTGCGTTTTATATCAATCTCTGTGAAATACAGCCGCACAAAGCACATCATTGTCCATTTTATTTCCCCAGCAGGATTTATGTCAGGTCCACTGTCTGGATTCAGCTTGTCACAAGAAATTATAGCAGACAAATTGGCTTTGTGTGAAAAGGTATGGTTTGCTCAAATGCTGCACTTCCTGGGAGGTTGAGTTATGCTAGCTTTTAGCTTGTACATGTGTCACATTGCTTGCGAGTTCAAAGGCGGAGTGCAATGCAACAATGTCCTGAAGTTACACTCGGAGTCAAGCTAATGATTTTTCCATTAGCTGTAATGTTTTCATTGAGGTGAAATACTTTATTATTGTGTCTCTATGGTTTTTTGTGCTTCTACCGGAGACATGCGTGAAATTTAAGATCATGTGTGTAGTTTCTGCACCATTTGGGGAACCAAATGGAAATAATGGATGGTTTCAAACTGGTTTTTCAAACACTTTTTAAGCTTTAGTCTTTAAAAAAAATGTTCTTACTTTATTTATGTGTGCTGTTTTATAGTACAAATATATACACTGCAAAAATATGATTTTTCTCTCTCAGTATTTGTGTCTTGTTTTCTATTACAAATTAGCCTGGGAAAACCCAGACAAATTTAGATTTGCTCTGAAAGTTAGTCTGGAATAGTTAGTCTCCTCAATCCGTCGAAATCGCAGCACCAATCAGAAACGTTGGGGCGGGCTTTACACGATGACGACAGCGCTGGGATTTTAAAGCAGATTTTGTAGCCTACGTTACAAAGATGGATGCCGCTGTCGAACATCACTCGTTCGAATTAGCTATCGCGTCTGTTTTAAGCAATTTGAACGTTTCCTTTTTGTTAAAAAAACGAGCAAAGAACAACACTCCGAGTGTTTCTCCGCCGCTCTGCATACGTCATCTCCTTCATCGCTCTGATTGGTTTTAGGTCTATCCGCGACGTCCGTTGGTGACGCCCCTCTGGAAATGATTTGTCTTTGACGCTTTGCCAGACCATAACTCAGTTACAACTGAGAATGGTCTGGTTTTAACCTTAAATTTGTCTTAATTTCATGTTTACACTTCTGGGCTTCGGGGTCTATATGACCCCAACAATTGATTGAGTAATTGTACAAAAAATATACATTTTTAATCATACAAATAATATATCATTTTTTTTGTTTACTTCTCATCTATTCATTAATGCTGTGTTTTTGGAGATATAAAGTGCTTTTGTGTCCATATACCACACAATTCCTCAACTACACCATTAGCTTTAGCATTAGCATATGAAATATAATTTTTTTATGATGCATTGCATTTATGCTCTAGTACTAGGCCTTCATTTCTGTGTAAAGATGCCGTATTTTTTATTTATTTACTTTTTTTGACACATGAAGAAAATATATTTCATTTTTTTCACATTTCCCATTCATTTCAATGTGGGGTCATATTGACCTCGAAGACCAGAAGTGTAAACATTTTTTTTTTTTTTTTACATACCTTAGAACAACTGAATCAAGCCCAGTGTTTTTTGTGTGTGGGTGTATAGATCGATAATGTAAGAAAAGTCACAAAATCTTATTCCACTGAGATGAAGGGAACCTTTTTTTTTATTAAGTAAAAGTCGATTGGGGTCGTATAGATTGAGGTCAAAAAGATGTACAATTAAGTGTATTAAAAATCTACTTAAATATGTTTTTAGTACAATACAAATATAATGTAATGCATTTTTAATACACTTAATTGGACGTCTTTTTTACTGGCTAATTACAAATATCTAAATAATATTAAATCAAGATACATTTTAACTGAGAAAGACTTAGAAAAATGAATGACTTAGTTTCCTGAAAATGTATTATTTAAGTGAATTTATGCTTAAAATAATGGGGAAAAACTGTAAATAGGACGAGACAAATAATCTTGTTTTTCCTTTGAAATAAATGTATTTTTCTTACCCCACTTGTTTTTATGCATGAACTCTACTCACTTAAAGTCATTTAGCTCCTCAAGCAAATTAATCTTGATTCACTGTAAAAAAAAAATTGTTGCTGCCTTAAATTTTTAAATACAATCAGCTTGGATGTTTAAGTAATTTCAACTTGAATTACATTGAAAATGAACCTTGTATAACTTGAAGATTGCTTAGCTTATTTTGATGAGTTAAAGCAATGTAAAAACATATGACTTATTAATCATATAATATTTACAGTGTAAGACACACAGTTGTCTTTGGATATTAAGATAGAAGGAACGATTTTAAGAACACACTTCATAGTTCATAGTTTATCGACATACTAAAGCACTTAAATGATTTAATAATGAAACTGTTCTGAGTGTGTTTGCTGCTTCTCTTTGTTCTCCTGGCACAGGTCGGTTAGTCGAGATATAGAGGTAGATCGCTCTTTCGGTGCCAACTGGAGCGCTGCCAACTCCAGCAGGAGTTTTTCTCTTTCTCCTGTTTGATATTTACTTTACGGCCTTCTCAGAAAAAAAAAACAAAAAAAACGGCTGCAGTCTGAGGGAGACACTGGACCATTTTAATGTGGAAAAAGGGGCTAGTTGTGTATTGGGCCGCGCTGCTGTCTTATCCCTCTTCTAATTTGCCGAGAATAGACTTGAGGCTATATGGACTCTTAAACGCTCCTGTTATAGCTTTCCAGAAAGGTGCTGGCCTGTGTCATCATGCATCCTATACAGAGGAAGCACTTGCGGGCTTGTATTATGAGCGTTTCGTCTTGTAGGGGAAGGTTGAGTGTTTAATGTGTGCCAACAGAATGTTATTATATGCCAAGCATAGCACTTCATTGTCAAAGCCAAATCCCCACCCTGATGGGGCAGATTAATAGATGATATTTTAAGAACATGGAATATGTAATATTTGATTTTTTTTTTTTTTTAATGGAAATTAAATTAGATTCGGTTTGACTCCATATGGCAGAGTCACGGTAAATTGAGGCTTGAAAGACTCAAATGCCATGGGGCATAATGAAAGCTCTTATAAAGAGGGGAAATGGAACACCTGTCTCATAGTCAAACCTATGCCATACATATACATCATAGATTGGCTAACTTTTTCATGCTAGGAGATATAATCAAGAAGACCCACTGAAAACTTTTCCTTTACATGCAATCTGCAAGCAATCACATCAAAAGCTGATTGGCCTCTGCTGATCCTGCAGCCAATGAGATTGCTTGCTCAACATTTAAGTAGTCTGGTTCATTGTTTTCTGTATGCTATTCCTGCAGGGCGCTATCAGAGTTCCCCTGAAACCCTCCACCTCCCCCAGCTCCACCTGCCTAGATCTGCTATGGATTTATGTATGTCTATTTATGCAGCAGCATACTGTATCTTACATGCTCACATCAGCACGTCTGTGTATCTTTTAGCAGTAGCAAGTCCATACAGCAGCATTGAAGGAGTAGTTCACTTTTAAAAACACTTTTGCTGATAATTTACTCACCCCCATGTCATCCAAGATGTCCATGTCTTTCTTCAGTCGAAAAGAAATTAAAGTTTTTGATGAAAACATTCCAGGATTTTCTCCATATAATGCACTTTACTGGGCACCAAACGGTTCAAGGTACAAAAGACAGTTTCAGTGCAAACTGCAAACTGTTCAAAGGGCTTTAAACGACACCAGACGATGAATAAGGGTCTTATCAAGTGAAACGATCACTCATTTAAAAAAATAAATAGCAAAGTTTAAGTTTTATAAGCTCAAATGCTCGCCTTGCTCTGTTTTGTGATGCGCGTTCGTGACTCTTCTGTTCGAACTCGTTCATCAAAATGAACAAATGTTTTTCCGAGTCATTTGATTCATTCAACGAACGAAATGAACGAATTGACTCGGAAAAAGATTTGTTCTTTTGATGAACGAGTTCAAACAGGAGAGTCACACAGAACAGAGCAAGGCGAGCATTTGAGCTTATAAAACTTAAACTTTGTTATTATTTTTTTTTTAAATGAGCGATCGTTTCGCTTGATCATCGTCTGGAATCGTTTAAAGCCCTTTCAACAGTTTGCAATTTGTACTGAAACTGTCTTTTGGACCTGAACCGTTTGGTTCCCATTGAAGTCCATTATATGGAGAAAAATGCTGGAATGTTTTCATCAAAAACCTTAATTTCTTTTCGACTGAAGAAAGAAAGACATAGACATCTTGGATGACATGGGGGTCAGTAAATTATCAGTTTACTCTTTTAATCAACAACAGCAGTGTAGCAGATCTAGTCAGCCAAGACCAAATAGCATGCCAAAATATTCAGAGAGTTGTCATGATTGAAATATTTCCCCTGAAATCTTCTCCATGAACTATCAGTTAATAGTTATACTAAGCAAACAACATTAATTCAAATATGTATATAATTGCTTACTATGTAGTGTCTAGGTCCAATTGCATAAATAATATTATCTCATAGGGTCCTATTATACACCCGGTGAAATGTAGCTGCAAGCGCGACGTAAGTGTATTTTGCTAGTTTCAGCCCGACGCAGTTATCATTTTCACGTCCTGCACCACATTGTTTAAATAGCAAATGCATTTGTGCCCATGGGCGTGCTGGCCTGAAAACGCAGTGTATTCAGGCGCATTGTTGGTGCGTTGTTTTGAGGCAACTGAAATAGACCAAGATAGACTCTAGAGTTAATGGCGCAATTTTTTTTTTTTTTTTTTATTTAAAGAGTTAGTAATAATAATAATAATCGTTAGTAATAATTAGTTAGTAATTATTAGTAATAATCCACAACGCGCATACACTCTGCTTATTACACACAGCAGCACACAAACTAGCCAAATATTAAAAATAAAAGTATTACAATGTAAAAGATTAATATTGCGTATATAAATATATGGTGGAATCCAGCTTTTTGCGCACAAGCATATCTGTTTCTCTGCTTGCAAATCCCGCCATGTAAATGTCAAAACTGGCTGGGAATGGGAAATTACACTCTGATTGGTTTATTGCATGTTACGCCAAAAACACACCCAATACTCATTAAGAGAATAGGGACAACCCTTTTAGATCATGCGCCGACCATTTTTCCCATCGTTAAACTAGCAAAAGTGGATTAGGACACACCCTAAGTGCACTTGCGCCGTGAGCTTTAGACCATGCACTAAATAGGGCCCTTAGAGGCCCTGGTGCATAATTAAACAAATTGGACATGTTATGATAATAATAATAACAATGAAAACCAGATAATTGAACATCATTACATTGCTCTTTTAATAAGTGAAATGTTTACTTTTAACACTTAAGTAATTACATTAAAGATTTTTGTTACATTTAGGGTAAATGCAAATGCAAATATGGTTAATTAATTTCTCAAATTATCTTTATCCATAGAATGTGAGTCTTGAGTCATGTTCAAAAGAATCATTTGTTCGTAAATCGGAGTTGTTTTTACATGCGACCCCTGAGGAGCAGAAGTGCGAGTAACTGTGCTGTAATATGCAAAACACTTGTAGTGTATCTTGTCAGAAATGTATAAATACAAGTTATTATGTGGTGGTCAGTTTTACTGATGGCAGTATATTGATTGCAGGGCACAGGCCGAAACTGGATGACTCTCCGAAGGCCGGACTGTTTTCAGACCGTCTCAGTGAACTCGAGCGTATCCGGCAGACCACCATGAGGGTTACCGTGCCAACACAAACACCACGGCCCTCGCTTAGCAGCCCCAACTCCTTCACACCTCAGGGCCAGACGCAGATCACAGGTATGAGATAGAAACACACTGCCTATTCTATTCTATTCTATTCAGAAAGATGCAGCTGACTCCACATTTAAACTGACACCAAAAACAATTACAGTATATCACTCTAATTAGATGTTAATATATATATATATATATATATATATATATATTAGGGCTGCCAAATCATATGTTAATTAATTAATTACATATGCTAATTAATCATATGTAACATAAAAGTATATATAAAATACGAATATATACTCACACACAGACGTATATGTATGTGTGTGTGCGTGTGTGTGTCATCCCCACAGCCACAGGACAATTAGTTTTGAGAATGGATGAATGGATATAATATTTAATTATTTACATTTATGCATTTGACACATGCTTTTAACCAAGTTCAGATACCTTTATTAGTCCCCAAGGGGCAATTCAGTTTTACAGCCAACCCATCCATAATAGTTAAAATACAGTAACACACAATGAATAAAAGAAATAAATACTCACATCCCCAAGTCAACTCACATTCAAGGTATATGGGTTGCTAGCAGCATGCTTTATTGTTCGACCTATATATTATATAGGTTTTATATAGGTATTATATATAGGTATACAGGACATATATATTTGTTTTTTATCTGTTTTTGTTTGTTTGATTTATTTTAAATGTCCTTGTTATTCATCAAATATCAAGTAATGTTAATTTACAGATGCACATATTTCTTAAGTTCCTGTTTTATTGGTATGATCTGCACACAAAACCGCATGACCCTTTGAGTCACCGCTAACCTGTCAGTCACAATTGTCGTTTGCTTTATTCGAATCATTACTTGCAGCAATTCTATTTACTCACTCACCCAAGCATTTCAGCATGGTGTGTGTGTGTGTGTGTGTGTCACTGTCTCACAAGCTGAAATCGCACACTGCAACATGATGGACAAGTGGAAACCGAGTGTGGACAGCCCAGGGCAGAAGTTGTGTCACTGTGAGAGAACAGGATATCACCTGTCCTTAATTACTGCTCGGAGAGCGCATGTCCTGTACTCTGGGTCCTGTTACTGTACTGCGCCAAAGCCAAGGGACTGAATCCCAGACCAAATGCACTGTACCTTGTTGACTTTAGCAATTATATGCCTGCTTTTAAACTGATTCTTGGCATGACAGAGAACTGGAACTATGAGGCATGAAATATGTCCTCTCAGACAAACATTTGTGAATGTATTCATTTAAATAATTTACCCAGGGGATCACATTATATTTGTTAAATACACAAGGCATGGGACAGACAGACAAATATAAATAGATTTAAAATTGTGATTTTCAGTTTAATTAAATTAATGACAAGATGTACTGATTACTTAAAGGATTAGTTCACTAAAAATGAAAGTGATGTCATTATTTACTCACCCTCATGTCACTGTTTGTGAATAAAAGCTTAAATTAAATCTGTTCATCATATAAGGTGATCTAGTCTCTTCATAAAATTTGGACTAAACCACTCAACCCATATGGATTAGTTTTACGATTTCTTTATTAACTTTTTGCAGTGACAGAGTGTCAGTTGCATAGCTGAGGGACATCTCATTTAAAATATCCCCATTTGTGTTTTAAAAATGAACAAAAGTCTTGCGGGTTTGGAACGACATGAGGGTGAGTACCGGTAAATGATGACAAAATTTTCGTTTTTGTGCTATCCCTTTAATTGCAAATATCAGTGTTGGTGAGAACCCTCCATAGGTGAAGATGAGCAAATCATTGAATAGATATTACAAAATTGGCTTCAGAAGTCAAATTGTTTATTTCCATATCACTGAACATAAGCCTGTCAAAAAAATTACATGGACTTTGTCCTCACAATGGAAGTCAATGGGAACCGAAACTTTCTTTAAAATATCTTATTTTGTGTTCCACATAAGTCATACAGGAATGACTACAGAATTATCATTTTTGGGTTAACGGTCCTTTTAATGTGACCTGTTCTCTGTTTGTACATTTAGATCCACGCCAGGCTCAATCTTCCCCACCTTGGTCATACGACCAGACATACCCGTCGTACCTGAGTCCCATGGCCTCCCCGTCTGTGCACTCCACCACTCCGCTGTCGTCCAGCCGGGCCACAGGGCTGCCCTCCATCAGCGATGTGCCCAGACGCCTTCCAGGTAACCTCCAGCCTCAGACCCACAGCAGGTGCGCCCCCTACCCCTCGCGTCCAACACTGCAGTGGGCAGGGGGGTGGGCATGTGTGTTATGGTGATTTGGGGTTTGTGTGAATTAAGCACTTTTTCATTACCTTTCAAAGATATTTGGAAATTAAGGAGTGCATTTACTTAAAAATATAACATTTTTAAGTGATATTAATGACATTTTTTTTGTCATTTTGAAAAAAATCTGCATTTACCGCCTGCCATCAGAAAATTGGCTCAGAATTTTGTGAATGAGCCGCATTCAAGCCTCGTTTGCATAAGAAATAAGCATGTTGGTGCTGAAAAGAATTAGTGTAACTCTTGGCACAGCACTATTTCAATTAATGTTGAAATGAATATGCACCACCAAGCAGAAATGCCAAAATAGTTATCAAACAGGTTTTCAGAAAACTGCAGGGAAATTTTGAGGGAAATCAGTCTATCAATGTCTTATTTATTGTCTCCACGTGAGATTTAAGTATTTTATCATTAAAAAAATACTCACTTTAACTTTTTTTTTAATAAAATATAATAGCATATATATATATATATATATATATATATATAATATATAATAGCATATATATATATATGCTATTATAGTTTTTAGTTTTTATTAATATTTTGAACTAACATTTGTTTTTATATTTTAATTTTATGTCATTTTTGCAATGTGCTTTTGTCTTTTTTTTTTGCACTTGGTTTCACGGTTAGTTAGTTTTTTTGCACTGAAATTTACACAAAAGTGTTGCAAATGTTTTTGTAAATTCACTCCTAAATTTGTTGGATGAAAGTTTTATCAGATCAATGAGAAACACACATGAACCTAAAAAAAACACACAAAAATTGCTCCATTTTGGTAGGGCTATTTTCTGAAATGATCATTTTTCTGCAATGGTCTGTCAATCATATTAAACAAATTATAGCTTTAAATTTCAAGTCATAATTCGTTAGAAACAAAATCTCAAATTCACTAGATTTTTATTAGGTAATGGTCCTGTAGATTCGTAAACGGAGCCAGTTTTAAAATTGGACGGCGCCATGAGTGTATTTTTAAAACTCGGGGGAAGGGGGGGAAAAAGGTTTCCTTAGCTCCTCTTTCCATGACTTTGATCCTGCGTAGTATATCGTTAATAACAGACCAAGACATAATAACAGGCCAGTGGCGGGCAAATAAAGCCGCTTTATAGCGCTACGCTTCCCAGAGAACCTTTGGGGAGTGGAAGGACACTCGGTGCCCGAGTTGCACCCCGTAAGATATTTGGCCTTGTGTGCCCTACAACACACCCAGATAACCCTGGAAAGAATAAATGTAGACTGACAAGTTTCCATTTCCAAACACCTGTTTGAATCAGTGCCAGGTGAGTGTTTTCATTCTCTGTCATTTACCTCCACACTACACCCTCACCCATTCCTGAGAACCTGGATCGGCTTAAAGTGATTAAAGAAGAATCTCCCTCACCTGAGCGCTGGCTGGCAGGTTCTGGAGGCCTGCCACCCGCCTGTCACGTCTAATTAATTTAGGTATATCATTCTTTCATGTGATGCTGCTGGCACATGTGAGCTTTTGTTAATAATAGCTTTGATGTCAGATAAGGACAGGGCTCTTTAATGTTTTCCACAACTTAACTGTAAGAGTAACAGTGCAAATGTTCCTTGTTGATGTCTTTTGCGAGACATTAAACACTTCAGGTCTGCAAGTGTGTGTTTGTGTTGGTAATAATATACTTCCGTACCCAAGGGGGCGATAGAGTTACCTTCAGGTATGTGCCATTAAAGGATTTTTGGATTTAAATTAGTACTACTTCAACTCAAACTTTTTAAGTTTTTAAGTGAAGAGTTCAGATGCAAAAGCCTCTAAATGCCATTTGAAATTTTCTTCTAAAATGACCATTTTTATCAAGCTTGTATATTTAAGTTCAGTAATTTCACTTAAATGACAATTAATAGGTAATCTTCATTGCCATTTAAGTGAAATTACTGAACTTAAATATACAAGCTTGATAAAAATGATCATTTTAGAAGAAAATTTCAAATGGCACTTAGAGGCTTTTGCATCTGAACTCTTCAAGTAGTACTTTAGTTTTAAGTTTAAAGTACTTTTAAAGTTTTTTATCTAATATTTAGATTTGATTTTATTATTATCATTAACCAAATGTTAAGAACACTAGTTGCATTATATTGAGGTCTGATTCATTTTCCAAAAAATAATACATGAAATCGATTTAGAAGCATATACTTGCCTGTCTGTTGGAGGCTTAGATTTTGCATTATATCAAATAAAACGGTAAAAACTACTGCACACTTGTATGGTGACATCATACCTCATGTAGACATGACTTAAACTTAATAGGCTTAACCCATAATTGTTTGGTTCACCTGAAACTAATCACTCTTGCCAAATAAATCATTAGTTTTACAGACATAGCATCTGTTTTCAACTCGTCTATGGATTTTAGGTGACTAGCACCAGAGATTGTATGTAAAATAACTTTTTTCGCTTTCATCATACGGCCTTGTATTCAGAGCACATGCTGTCTGTGCAGCCCGGGGCGAGAGAAGCATAATCGTCAGCTGCTCAAACCAAAGATTTTGAATATAAAAGAAAAAGGGGTTGGGTGTAGAGGGGAAAGGAGACACTGCTAGCATTAGCGACAAGCCGTGACTCCGCAAATCGCCCACATTTAACCATGCCACCCAGTCGGCCCACAGGCGCAGACATGGTGACAAGAAAGACGCCGTGTGATTTATGAAAACAGCCCCGCGCCAGGGAGGCGAGGCCGTTTCTTTTTGTTCCTTTACCCCTTGGCACTAGCGCTAAAGCTACAGACCATTAGTGGTTTCTGATTTTTGGAGAGAAAT